ATGAATTTTTAAGTCAGTACTCCAAAGTTCCTCCTTCATTTTATTTTTCCTACAATTTATTAGTTAAAGATGCCAGGGCATTTGACCTACAGGGTTTTCCACTGTCTGGATTTTGAAGATTGCATAGTCTTGGAGAAGTTCATCATGTTTTTTCTGCCCGTTGCATTTTGTGCAAATTGGCAACTGGATCTGGAGACTTAATCAGACTCAGGTTTTATCCCTATGGCACCTATAAGTGATGTAGTGTTCATTGCAAGATATATAATGTTTGTTTCTCTTTTTGTGATGTTAGCAACTGTTGACGTTCATTACCTAAATTTATTAATCACTGGGGGTTGAAAAATAGTGATTTGTGATTTTGTCATTTTTCTTTTCTTTTTTCATTCAGTAGGTGGGATATGTATAAAGTAATGCTTTCTCTTATCTCTTATTTGATTACCAGCGACACAATTTGTTTAGGAAGAGTAGTATTAGTGCTTTCTTATTTCTCTTTATTTACCAGCTTTCAGAGTAGATAATTGGTGTCCTATTGAAAAAAATATTATAAACACAAGTATTCAAACATATTTAATGGATTTCAATCAGTCTCAATTATAATCCTTTTTGAAGTTAAAATTGTCCCATTTTTGTCAGTGGGAACCTCTTCGGATTGGCTTCTGAAATCTTTTTGAATACCTAGTAGTTCTAGATAATATCCTTTCTATTTGGTGTGACAAAATATTCCATGTTCATTTTAAATATTTTCTGGTTGAAGCCTAGAATCAGATTACAACCTGGGCACTTGAGATGCCTTCTAGGGTTGGCCGTTCTTCCTAGGCCAACATCATCTGTCTACATTAAGTACAGATCTGGGGATGCAGAGACACATAGACCTCATTGTGTGTGTGTGTGTGTGTGTGTGTGTGTGTGTGAATTTATGTATATTTTGGGAATACTCTGTCACCTAGTTTTTCTGTAAATGTCCCTGAGTTTTTAGTTTTGCCATGCAGTTGCTGTTTTTGTTGTTGTTGTTGTTGTTGTTTTTATGTGAACATTTGGAAAGGCTAAAAAAATTCTACTATATCTGTTAATTTAGAGTCAATTTCAAATGGTAATCAACCAGTGTTCCTCAGTACCCTAGTCAATTGCTACCCAAAGAACCACTCTGTTAGGTGCCATATATATTGCATATGGAAATTTAAAGATACAAATTCTCTTTTAGAAAATAGACCTTTTTCCACTTCTCTATTCTGTCCATCACATTCTGTTTCATTCATTCAATGATTGGAGAGAGTCCCATTCACCCTTCCCTTACTACCCATCTTTATGTAGGCAGTTTACAAACATCAAAGAAAATCAAGTCCTGCGTTTCACAGAAAAGTTTTACACGGACTGTTGGTTTATGTTATATACTAGGCTCAAATCTGAATATACTGTGCCTGTATCTAATATTCAATTCCACATTCAAAATGAGATTTGGCACACTTGAGAAAGTATTGCCAAGAATGGTCTAAAAGTCCTGAAGAAAGTTCCCAAGCGAGACTTAGGTATTTTGGATTAGCTATGTCTGTGCACACAATGATTAATATTTTCTATCATAGAGAAGGGAAATATTTTATTCTAGGGAAGATATAAAAATAAAATCTTATTTTTCAGTGGCTCTAAGTCTTATTAAATTTGCAGCTGTAAGGATGATGATATTTAGCTATCTTCCCAAAGTAAATGATCTGAACTAGACACATTTTTTTAGGATCCCTTTCACAGAGTAAAATATTGGAAGTTATGATAAAGTTCTGTTTTATTATTAGGTGTTAGACTTAATATATAGGCAATAATATGTGTGTTATATACACTCTGGTTATGTTTTGAAATATTGATTATTTTGGAATAGTATTTGTTTGTCTTATTGTCTAATTCAGTAGTTCTCAATCCTGGCTTGGCCGTAGAACTACCTAGACCTTTAGCAATGCTGATATCCTAGTTCTGGTCTCTGACTTAATAGATCTAGACTTGGGCCCAGTATCCAAGATTTTTAAGAACTCACCCATTGTTTTTAATATGTAGCCTTGTCCTGTCTAGTTAGTTCATAAACTTATGATATCCACTAAGTTTAGCTGGTTCCCATTAGCACAAATACTAGAACTATTTCCTTTAAAGCGCAATTAAAAAGAAACCAGCACGAACAATGAAAATGAAATAATTATATACATTAATGCCAGTTCTACTGAGCCTGGCGTCACGTGTAAATTTAACCAAAAGAACAAAACAGAGATTAAAACTACAGATCCAGAACTTGAACTAGGATTCCTAATGGAGATTAATATTTTCTTCAGCAGTCTGCCAGCTGAATCATTGTCTAATTAAATAGTTCAGATTTAGTGAGTTTGCATTTAAAGTGTTAGCAGATCCGAGAATGGGTAAAGCTAAAATGAGTTAGAATCTTTTCTGTAAATGGGAAGTTAAATTATCATAGTAATTTGATTAAATCATTTTTAAATCTCTCATGCTAAATCACATCCTTTAAAGAATAGTTTGAAGTCTTAATTGCTGTTTGTGAGCATATCTCTCTGCTATTTGTTCTTGCCTCATTTCCCATGACATCCTATAATATATCTCCTGCTGGGCAAGAGTAGTGGGAAAGGCAAGACTATGGGTAGGGCCGAGGTAACTGTGTAGCTAACTTCAAGCATTTAAAGATATGCCATGTCGAAAAAGGAAATTTATCCTGTATTGTTCTAGTAGTTAGAAACAGGACCAAATGATAGAATTTGGAGACAGATTGAGGAAAACTTAAAGAAGAAATTAATAATAATTAGTTTTGCCTTTTATCAAGGAGAATACTCTACATACTTTTCATATGACTGTCAATGTCTTCATTAGGAATATTGTAAAGTAGACGGCTGATGAAGATGGGAGTTTGAACAGGATGTGTTTACAGGGAAATTCATCTCATTTTTTAAGGGAGTGCACATTTAGTGTTCTATATTCTAGCAGCATTATTAATTTGAAGCATCTTGAATTTAAACCTGAGTCTCACACATATTACCAGTGCCACCTGGCTTCTAGGGTTTGGGGAGGTAAAATGAGGCCACATTCACCTGAAATAGGTGCTTAATAAATGGTAAATGTATTATTTTTATTCTGGTGTGTTTTTGGTCTAGTTGGAAAATAGTTATTTCAAGTTGGTTTTGTCACTGCAGAGTATAATTCCCATTTCCTCCTTCCATCTTTTACTCTGTTTTCATGTAGGGAGCTAATTATTAGACCCAGCCTAAGTTGGGAAAATCCAACTCGTCTCTGTTCCCTTATGCACAAGGTCCTTATTACAGTCTTTTGTGTACCTAGAGACTCACCATGGTGTTTCCCCATACCTCCTGTTTTTCCTTCGGTTAGCACTTAAGTGCAAAAATAGAGAGAGAGAAAGAATATCAGAGCATGTTGCCATCATCTCTATGAATGTTTTTCTGTCCCTAACATTACCAACCCTTAGACAACTTTAGAAATTATGTGTGTTTGTTTCTAAGAGACAGCACCATAGGAGGTGGATAAGATTGCCATGCTGAGAGGAACCAGACTGGAGAGAAGCTGGTTAGAAATAATCCACAGGGAAAGGCTAGGCGTATGTTGGGGAGTGACTTGAATCCTGCTCCAGGGCACACTGTCAACACTATTTCCCACTTTGGAAAAATTCCTTGTTTTTGCTCTGCCAGACAGAAATTGAGTCTTGAGCAGTAAATACTTATAAGCAATTTTATTCCAGATTATTCAAATTTTTTTTAAAGAGATGTCATTAAACTACCTAATGTTAATAGTGATCAATTCACCAGTGATGTGGTGGAATGATTCAAAATGACAATGTGAATGGAAAAAAAAAAAAAAAAAACCTAAACAAAATACGAATAAATTTTAAGACGTGCTACTGGTTATATCTATCTTTTAATTATTTTGCCATATTTCTTTTTTATTATATGTTTAGCCACTTGCTTTTAAATTACATTCCCTCTCTCTTTTTGTTCATGTGATCTATGTTTGAATTGTATGAAAGATTAGGCTAACTACATATATCTTAGAGCTCAGCATTCTCAGAGAACTAGAATTATTAAACATGAAGAATCCCCCAAAGACTCCATTATGTGTAATTAACAGATAAACTGTCATCAGAATCAATAAAACGTGCTAAATGATTCAAACTTGTATATAATTAAGTGTCTGCTTTAGAGCTGGAGCTGTAACTTTTATTTTTTCCCCACATCTCACATTTCTCACAAGAATAATTTGGCAACCTTGTTAACCCTTTCTTTGCTTGATGGAATTAGATGTTCAAATTATTCATTTAAGGGTAAAGTTCACCTTTACAAATGTGAAAAATATTTCAGAACTCAGTGATCTGAAGACACCATTTGTTTTTCATCAGGGAAGTAGACTATGTAAGGACGTTTTAATGAACTGATACTACAACTTTAAATATCCTAAAAGGATAAATAATGTATTGTGATTTCTGTATAGTGCTAGATTCAGTGTATTCACATGGAGTTCTTAGGAACTTAGTCATCAATTTTTTCCCCTCTTTGGGAAATACTGGCTTTTCCAGGCAAGATCGGAATTTTAAACAAACTTCCCCCACACAGCACTAAGATAATACTTTTAATAGATGGCCTTCCATGGTTGTTTGTTGAGTATATGAATATAAACCTGGATGAGACAATGAATAAAATAGTCAAGACTGTAATCTGTTAAAAGAAAGCCTTCTCTTGCTCAGCCTGAGGAGGAAAAATACACACTTTAAATCATAGATCTTTTCTAATAATTCCCATCTTCTAAGCTAGTATTAAACATTATGTAGGGAAATTTAGAAAGAAATAGAGACTGAAGAAATGTGAGACTCTGAACAAATCACAGTTGCAAGCTTAGAGAAGTTCAAAAATAATAATAATTAATTTAATAACTAATTTTATAACTCTAGTCTACATAGGTTTGTTATGATTAATATAATTACTTATATCTTTTGCTTCATTGCACAGACTCCATGCACATAGAAGATGTTGAAGCCGTTCAGAAGCTTCAGGATGTCTTACATGAGGCGCTGCAGGATTATGAAGCTGGCCAGCACATGGAAGACCCTCGTCGAGCTGGCAAGATGCTGATGACACTGCCACTCCTGAGGCAGACCTCTACCAAGGCCGTGCAGCATTTCTACAACATCAAACTAGAAGGCAAAGTCCCCATGCACAAACTTTTTTTGGAAATGCTGGAGGCCAAGGTCTGACTAAAAGCTCCCTGGGCCTTCCCATCCTTCATGCTGAAAAAGGGAAAATAAACCCAAGAGTGATGTCAAAGAAACTTAGAGTTTAGTTAACAACATCAAAAATCAACAGACTGCACTGACAATTTAGCAGCAAGACTATGAAGCAGCTTTCAGATTCCTCCATAACTTCCTGATGAGTTTCTTTCTACTTTCTCCATCATCTTCTTTCCTCTTCCTTCCCACATTTCTCTTCCTCTTTATTTTTTCTCCCTTTCTTCTTCCCTCCTCCCTTATTTCTTTGCTTCTTTCATTCCTAGTTCCCATTCTCCTTTATTTTCTTCCCATCTGCCTGCCTGCCTTCTTTCTTTTCTTTGCTACTCTCGTTCCTCTCTTTACTCATCTTCCTCCTGTTTTCTAAATTTTAAATAGCTTTAGTTGTAAAAAAAAAAAAAAAAAAAATCCTTCCGTCCCCCTTTCCTTTTTCTTTCTTCCCTTTTTTTCCTTTTTCCCTTTCCCCTTTCCTCTTTCCTTTCCTTCTGATCTTCTTTCCATCTTTCTTTTTCTTCCTTCTGCTGCTGAACTTTTAAAAAAGGTCTCTAACTGAAAAGAGATGGAAGCCAGCCCTGCCAAAGGATGGAGATCCATAATATGGATGCCAGTGAACTTATTGTGAACCATACCGTCCCCAGTGACTAAGGAATCAAAGAGAGAGAACCAACGTACCTAAAAGTACAGTGCAACATATACGAATTGACTGAGTGCAGTATTAGATTTCATGGGAGCAGCCTCTAATTAGACAACTTAAGCAACGTTGCATCGGCTGCTTCTTATCATTGCTTTTCCATCTAGATCAGTTACAGCCATTTGATTCCTTAATTGTTTTTTCAAGTCTTCCAGGTATTTGTTAGTTTAGCTACTATGTAACTTTTTCAGGGAATAGTTTAAGCTTTATTCATTCATGCAATACTAAAGAGAAATAAGAATACTGCAATTTTGTGCTGGCTTTGAACAATTATGAACAATAATGAAGGACAAATGAATCCTGAAGGAAGATTTTTAAAAATGTTTTGTTTCTTCTTACAAATGGAGATTTTTTTGTACCAGCTTTACCACTTTTCAGCCATTTATTAATATGGGAATTTAACTTACTCAAGCAATAGTTGAAGGGAAGGTGCATATTATCACGGATGCAATTTATGTTGTGTGCCAGTCTGGTCCCAAACATCAGTTTCTTAACATGAGCTCCAGTTTACCTAAATGTTCACTGACACAAAGGATTAGATTACACCTACAGTGACTCTGAGTAGTCACACATATAAGCACTGCACATGAGATATAGATCCGTAGAATTATCAGGAGTGCACCTCTCTACTTGGGAGGTACAGTTGCCATATGATTTCTAGCTGCCACGGTGGTTAGGAATGTGATACTGCCTGTTTGCAAAGTTACAGACCTTGTCTCAGAAGGAGCTGTGAGCCAGTATTCATTTAAGAGGCAATAAGGCAAATGCCAGAATTAAAAAAAAAAAAAAAAATCATCAAAGACAGAAAACGCCTGACCAAATTCTAAAACCTAATCCATATAAGTTTATTCATTTAGGAATGTTCGTTTAAATTAATCTGCAGTTTTTACCAAGAGCTAAGCCAATATATGTGCTTTTCAACCAGTATTGTCACAGCATGAAAGTCAGTCAGGTTCCAGACTGTTAAGAGGTGTAATCTAATGAAGAAATCAATTAGATGCCCCAAAATCTACAGTCACTGAATAACCAATAAACAGTAACCTCCATCAAATGCTATACCAATGGACCAGTGTTAGTAGCTGCTCCCTGTACTATGTGAACAGTCTTATTCTATGTACACAGATGTAATTAAAATTGTAATCCTAACAAACAAAAGAAATGTAGTTCAGCTTTTCAATGTTTCATGTTTGCTGTGCTTTTCTGAATTTTATGTTGCATTCAAAGACTGTTGTCTTGTTCTTGTGGTGTTTGGATTCTTGTGGTGTGTGCTTTTAGACACAGGGTAGAATTAGAGACAATATTGGATGTACAATTCCTCAGGAGACTACAGTAGTATATTCTATTCCTTACCAGTAATAAGGTTCTTCCTAATAATTAATTAAGAGATTGAAACTCCAAACAAGTATTCATTATGAACAGATACACATCAAAATCATAATAATATTTTCAAAACAAGGAATAATTTCTCTAATGGTTTATTATAGAATACCAATGTATAGCTTAGAAATAAAACTTTGAATATTTCAAGAATATAGATAAGTCTAATTTTTAAATGCTGTATATATGGCTTTTGCTCAATCATCTCTCAGATGTTGTTATTAACTCGCTCTGTGTTGTTGCAAAACTTTTTGGTGCAGATTCGTTTCCAAAACTATTGCTACTTTGTGTGCTTTAAACAAAATACCTTGGGTTGATGAAACATCAACCCAGTGCTAGGAATACTGTGTATCTATCATTAGCTATATGGGACTATATTGTAGATTGTGGTTTCTCAGTAGAGAAGTGACTGTAGTGTGATTCTAGATAAATCATCATTAGCAATTCATTCAGATGGTCAATAACTTGAAATTTATAGCTGTGATAGGAGTTCAGAAATTGGCACATCCCTTTAAAAATAACAACAGAAAATACAACTCCTGGGAAAAAAGGTGCTGATTCTATAAGATTATTTATATATGTAAGTGTTTAAAAAGATTATTTTCCAGAAAGTTTGTGCAGGGTTTAAGTTGCTACTATTCAACTACACTATATATAAATAAAATATATACAATATATACATTGTTTTCACTGTATCACATTGAAGTACTTGGGCTTCAGAAGTAAGAGCCAACCAACTGAAAACCTGAGATGGAGATATGTTCAAAGAACGAGATACAATTTTGTAGTTTTCAGTGTAACTCTCAGCATTTCAAAAGAGTAAGTATCTCACAAATAGGAAATACAACTAAAACGTAGATTTAAAAAGAACTGCACGGGCTTTAGGGTAATTGCTCATCTTAAACCTCACTAGAGGGAAGTCTTTTCAAGTTTCAAGCAAGACCATTTACTTAATGTGAAGTTTTGGAAAGTTATAAAGGTGTATGTTTTAGCCATATGATTTTAATTTTAATTTTGCTTCTTTTAGGTTCGTTCTTATTTAAAGCAATATGATTGTGTGACTCCTTGTAGTTACACTTGTGTTTCAATCAGATCAGATTGTTGTATTTATTCCACTATTTTGCATTTAAATGATAACATAAAAGATATAAAAAATTTAAAACTGCTATTTTTCTTATAGAAGAGAAAATGGGTGTTGGTGATTGTATTTTAATTATTTAAGCGTCTCTGTTTACCTGCCTAGGAAAACATTTTATGGCAGTCTTATGTGCAAAGATCGTAAAAGGACAAAAAATTTAAACTGCTTCTAATAATCCAGGAGTTGCATTATAGCCAGTAGTAAAAATAATAATAATAATAATAAAACCATGTCTATAGCTGTAGATGGGCTCCACATCTGTAAAGCAATCAATTGTATATTTTTGTGATGTGTACCATACTGTGTGCTCCAGCAAATGTCCATTTGTGTAAATGTATTTATTTTATATTGTATATATTGTTAAATGCAAAAAGGAGATATGATTCTGTAACTCCAATCAGTTCAGATGTGTAACTCAAATTATTATGCCTTTCAGGATGATGGTAGAGCAATATTAAACAAGCTTCCACTTTTGACTGCTCTTTTGTATTGTGTTTCTTTTTTTTCCCCACTAAAGAACCAAATCGACAAACACTGCCCTTTGTTGCTTCCATTCAAAGAGTATCTCTGAGTACCTGTTCCCTAAAAATAAAGTCAGAGTTTAAATGAGTGCTATATAAAGGCTTGTCAGAATGAATTCTAGGGTGCCAAGAGACATTTTGCATATTTAAGAGTATGCAAAGTGTCTCATGGCACATTAGAATTCATTCTGACAAGCCTTTATATAGCTCTTATTTAATCTTAAAGCATCTCCACATCATCCTGCATTACTCAAAATCATCGCCTCTATGTCAATGTCATAACAGAAAACTCTCCCCCTATTTTAAGATCATATTAAAACCTGCTAGAGATACCCATTATTTCCCTCTATCAACAATTAAATCATGCGCTTGCTCCGAGCTCATCGGCAAGCTGCAGGCTGTGTGGAGCAGCAGTGGAGATTCTGACCACATTTCCTGAATGGGAAGTCAACAAGCAGAGCTTAGAGATTGGTGTGAATTAGGAGGGGGAGCTGTCTTCGAATTCGAGAGGGTTAAACAGCACTGCTGACAGCAAATGGCCTCCTCTTGCCTTTTACACTCAGAGAGGTTATAGCCTTGCTGCTCAGGGTCAAGTTGTAGCTTCCACTGGACCCTCCTGGAGCCATCACCAAAGTGCTAATATGTGCTTTCTTGGCTTCTCTGCCCATCTTGAGGGTATTTTGTCATTGTGTTTGCCCACCGTATTTCTCACCTTTCAGAGGCGGTTGGTTCTCTAGAGAAGCAAGCTGATGACACAAAGACCACTAAACTGAATTGCTTTTAGGGGCACGGGATTACCTAAATGACTAAGATGCACTAGCAAACAAGATAGCTCAGTATTGTCTTTTTAAAAATATATTTTAATGTCCTTTGAGTGGCAACAGTTCAACATAAAATCTGACATGTTTTACTTTTGATATTTTTTAAGTGCTTGGATGGGACTGAAACAATGCAAGATACAAACCTAAAAGGAAAAATCGTGTCTGTAATCTTCCAACGAGGTCCTCATTGTAAAATATGTTAGGCACAAACACACACACACACACTTTTAAGAATTCCTGTTAGAACTGTCCTGCTGTTTTTATAATTTAGAATTCTTACAGGACAACTTTTCTGATGCTGACATATTTATCATTGATGCCTCAGGTGTAAAAGGAAATGAAGTAGGATTTTGACATTTCAGCACATTGTTTCTCAATATATAAACAACAAGTACCTCTGACAAATGCATTATATATTTGTTTTAAGGGATCAGTTTTATTTTCATCAGTTGTTTATAAGCAATTTATTTTTAAGCCAGCGGTCCCCAAATTTGTCTGCATATTGAAATCACCTGGGGAGTGTCAAAATTCCTGATCCTCATGTCCCACCTGCAGAGATTGTGGTTTCATTGATCCAAGATGTGGCCTGGGTTTTGGAATGCTTCCAAAAGATCTCCAGGTGATTCCAACATGAAAACGAGATGGAGAAACACTTGCTTTAAAGTTTTATACTTTTATCAAATAAGCCAAAAATAATGAACTTTTTAATATTGGTTCTACATTTTTGTTAGGGTTTCTTTTCAATAACAAGACAAAAATACTTAACCTTTTTTTCCTTACCAAACCAATGAAAGGCACTTTGATTGTTTTGACCTCCACAAAACACATGAAAAATATATTTTATTTGATAACTCCCAAGTCACATCTTCCTGTTATATCTCCGGATATAAAGATGGAGATGGATGGCAACTCAAAAACTTGTTTGCAGAATATCTCACAACCCCCTCACCCCACCACCACTTTTTAAATCCTACTCTTTGGCCCATTTATGTGCTTTAGAATTAATTTAGGTAGGATCCAAAAAAACCTGTCTTTCCCTATTGACAAACAAAAGAGCAACAAAATTAGAAAATTTTGATTTCTTGGAAGGACTTCTCTTACCTATATTTTTCAAGTTGTTGATTTAGGTGAGAGGTACAAATGAGATAGAATACTTCATCCTTGACCCTCTGCAAAAAACTTTAGGTGCACTTTGCTTGTTATGAAATTAATTTGTGATTAACTTGTGAAAGAAAAGAAAGCTATGCTTAAGGCTTTTGTTTCATCTACAGTGGTTTACATCCTGAATGGAGAGGACCACAGACCAATAGATAAAGTGTCTAAGTCAGTGCATCTGGCCTTTCAAATCTCTAAATCTAGCTTCTCATGCCCCCTGGTAGTGTGGAAAAAACAAAATGAAACAAGAAGCAGTAGATGGATTGTGTACTGCATCTTATTGTGAAAAAAATAGAAAAGAAAGGAATTTCAAAATATAATCCTGCTTTCCCAGGAGTATTTGTCTGTTTCTTCATGAAGTTAAAGGTCTGAAATAATGTGACCATCAGGGGCTCAATGTTGCATGTCCATGCCAGTTGGTCCAAGGGCTTGTTATGATGGTAATGACCTACTGAAACGTGAGCTTGGATTGCACAATACAATTGCTACCAACTCACCCGCTGGGAGAAATATTTTATTATTGTCAAATATCCTCCACAGAGATTTGTTTTGCCTGTTTCTGTTTAAATTAAATTCAAAGCAGAACTGCATTACTATTTCTCTGGAGTATATTTCAGATAAACTAGTCTCAAAATTTAGGATTCCTGGCTACTTCAAATTTGTTTATTAGCAGAAAAATTACAATAGGTGACACCACAGCTGCAGGAATATTATGATTGCAGCAACACAAGAGATTTACATACTGAGTCTGCAGCCTGAAAGCAAGAACTCACTTTTTCATTACAGGCACCAGCCAGATTAATAATGAACCATTTCATCTATTGTACAATCTTTAAAAAAGTACCAATATAGTCATGTATTGCCATAACATGCCACAGAATTTCAAACATGAGAAACTTTGCTCGAAGTAAGAAGTGTTTTTGATTTAAGATCATGAACCAAAAGTGTATATGTGTGTATATTAAAAAAAGAAACATAGTAGACATAGCAGAGCCCATGAATGAAAATGCTCTTTAAGTATAATATGTATTTAACAGTATTATTTTTTAAAAGAACTGAAAACAGGCTGGGCACAGTGGCCCATGCCTGTAATCCTGGAGCTTTGGGAGGCAGAGGTGGCAGGATTACTTGACCCCAGGAGTTCAAGACCAGCTTGAGACTCCATCCCATAAAAACCTAAAGCTAAAAAAAATAATAATAATAATAATTGAAAACAATGTAGTGGAGTATAGGGAATTATTTGGATAATTTTGCCAGAAGTCCTATATCACAACTTTGATGAAGGATTCTGAATCAGTTAAGCTTTAGACTACAAATTTTGTTACATGCAATCAAACGAGAAATGGACTTTACCGCGAGAAAAAAAAAAAGTGCTCGGCATTGTGAAAATGATAGTGGCCTGTGTGTTTTGCAGTGGGCTGAACTTTGGAGAGCTGATTTTAGGAAATGCAAACAAACTTTTGGGAGGGGTCGCTAAAAGGGCCTAACAGGAAACATTTCAGACTAGCGGGAACATCAAATCACACTATTCACACTCCAATTCAATCTGCCATTCTCAGTCGAATTTCACAGTTTTACTGGGAAGTGAAGAATTGTCTGCTATTTTTAAAAAGTGCATAGAAAGCTAAAGTCTTAAGAGGAATTTCCAAAGTGAAGTCTATAGCCATGCAAGTGTTAACTTTTTCCCTTAAAATATTGGCTTTTTTTATCGTTACAAATGAAGAATACTAGTGATTAATACTAAACACTATTTTGCAGGTATTTTTGTAATAATCTCTCTGAGATTCTTTATCTCCACTGGACTTTTATTTTGCCTGGGTCTTCCTTTTGAAATCAGAATGAATTGACCATCCCTAATGTACCAAATTTGTTCATGCTTATAAATCAAAAGAAGATTTGTGGCCTATTTTTTAATTGCACATACAGAAAAAAAGCCACTTTCTCCACAGAAATAAGTACGCAGTTCAGAGTAATTTCTGGGCTGGTTATTAAGTAAATAGGTGTTTAATATGAGTATGTTTTTACACACAAGGAATTCTATGACACATGACTTACTTGTTTGGGTTTAATAAGATTTGGTGGTGCTTAAATATACTGGGGAAAGTGATAAAGAGAAACAGTATGCCATACTGGTTACATGCATAAACTGAGTTTTTAATGTATAGGTTCAAAGCCAACTCTGCCACTAACTAGCTGTGTGATGTTATTCCTAGTTAAGTATATTCAATTGCTTAGATAAATGGGGATAAATACACTATTGAGGGGTTGTTATTAAGATTAATTTAGATAGTTTAGGTAAATATTTTGTATCTATTTTAAAAGTTCAATATGTTGAAAACGTAATTTCTTTCTTCCTCTTTATGTCTTTTCCAAGAGAGGCTAGATGATACTCCAGGATAATCTAATTCAAACTGGGAGAAAAGCCTTTAGGGCAGGGGAATAATGCAGGTGCTTGGGATGCAGATGTATAGGAGGTTGCTTTGGGGAGCTTCTCTTGAGTGGGTATTAAAATAGTATAGAAGCAGGGTTGCCCTGATGCACATTGCAGGTTCAGCCAGAAACCAATTGTGGGCCTGTGTGCCGGACACTATGCTGAGTTCTTTAAATACATTATACCATTTAATAGTTCAAATTTCTTTATGAGGGAAATGCCATTAATATCTTCATTTTATAGATGAAGAAAAGGAGTCTCAGAGAAGTTAAATAACTTGCTCAAGGACCAAATAATTAGTACACGAATCAACTAAATTAGAACGCAGCTTGTCTAGCTCCTGAACCTAATATCTTAAAACCCTGACCCTGTATTTAGCAGTTTCTTGAACACTGAATGATAGTACTTTATTTTTAAAGTTTGAATAGGTGGAACACAGAGTGAATTAATTCCGTTGCTTAGATCAAGAAATACTATCTCATTCCCTCATGTCTCTTTCATTCCTGCAATGTCTCTGTGTGAGTCCTTGAAAAATATATAATATTGGCTTAT